GAACATACAAGGCTGTAATAGATGATGTAGATCAGTAAACCCTAATAAGATTAATTTTTTCTCTAATTCCCTGAGGGTTAAGGGTTTATTTTTATTATTTTTTATTAAATATAAACATTTATTTAATAAAAAACCTAGACATATACGCTGATTCTTATATATTACTGTTTCTTGTCCTTGTCCTGTTGCTCCTCCTCCTGCTGCTCCTGCTGCACCTGCTGCTCCTGCTGCTGCTGATCCTGACGATCCTGATGATGCTCCTGATTGTCCTGATGATGATGATAGTTGCTGCTGCTGCTGCTGCTGCTGCTGCTGCTGCTGCAGCTGCAGCTGCTGCTGGGAGGCTGCTGCTGAGGAAGATTGAGAAGAAGATTGAGAGGAGGAGGAAGAAGATAATCCTCCTCCTGCTGCTGCTGCTGCTGCTGCTGCTGATGTTGCTGCTGATGGGAGATAATTGGATGCAACAGAAGATGAAGACATAGTAGATCCTATATATAATGCATTACCTCCTCCTGCTGCTCCTCCTGCTGCTCCTGCTGCTGCTGCTGCTGCTGCTGCTGCTGCTGATCCTGCTGATGATGATGATGTATGATGAGGACGACCTGCTGCTCCTATTAGACCTGCTGCTGCTCCTACTCCTCCTCTATTGCTGCTGCTGCCTGCAGCAACAGCAGCAGATGCAGCAGGGCCCCACATTACAGTAGACACTAAGGGAAGAATAATATACTACAAGACTCTCTTATTATTCCTGCTGCTGCTGCTGCTGCTGCTGCTGCTGCTGCTGATGCTGATGCTGATGCTGCAAGTGCTGCTGCTGCAAATGCTGCTGCTGCATATGCTGCTCGTCGCTTGCTGCTGCTCAGCTGCTGCAGTCCCTTCCCCCTTAATGTATCATACTGTTGTTTTGCTGCTGCTGCTGCTCCTGCTGCTTATGTTGTTGTTGTTGTTGCTGCTGCTGCTGCGGCGGCGCCGGCAGCTGCTGCTGCGGCCGCTGCTGCTGCAGCTACTGCTGCTGTTGCTGCTGCTGTTGCTGCTGCTGTAGAGAACCTCCAATAAAGATATATTTATTTAATAATTAAATAAAGAAGAAAAAGCAAAGAAGATTAACCACAATATATAACTACTAAACCCTAAACCCTAAACCCTAAACCCTAAACCCTAACTCAACGCAGCAGAGCAGCCCCTGGAGGGCGGCACGTCGAGTCCCTGTTGTTGTTGCTGCTGCTATAAACCCTAAACCCTAAACCCTAAACCCTTAATTCGTGTTTTATTTAGTATTTATATTATTTTATTAAATAGAAGAAAAAAGAAAAAAAAATAAATAAAATAATTAGGGTGTACAGACACCTCAAGAGGCCGCCATTCATATATAATAGATAAATAAATAAATAAATAAATAAGTAATCTTCTTCTTCCTCTTTATTCTTTTTACTCCTTTTCTTCTTCTTTCTTCCTTGTGTTCCTTTATTTACACGCAGATTGTTGCTTCTCCTGCTGCTGCTGCTGCTGCAGTTGCTGCAGTTGCTGCTGTTGCTGCTGCAGCAAGCAGCTCGAAACATTGCTGGTACTGACGATGCTGCTGTTGACGCTACACCTGCCGCTGCTGCTGCTGTTGCTGCTGCTGCTGCTTCTATCTGCAGCACTGCCCGTAGCAGCAGCAAAACTAGCCGCAGCAGCAAGACAGGCCGAAGCAGCAAACCAGTTTTAGCAGCAGCAAAGCAGCAGCAGCAGCAGCATTTGCTGCTGCTGCTACACTAGCAGCAGCAAAGCAGAGCTGTTGACTGCTCATGATGGTACTATTGTAACAGCAGCAACAGCAGCAACAGCAGCAACAACTATAGCAGCAGCAACTATAGCAGCAGCAACTATAGCAGCAGCAACTATAGCAGCAGCAACTATAGCAGCAGCAGCAGTATACACTGTTGTAGCAGCAACACTAGTAGCACTAGCAACTGCAGCAGCAGATCTACCATTAGCTATAGCAGCAGCAGCAGCAACTACAGCAGCAACAGCAGCAGCTATAGCAGCAACAGCAGCAGCTACAGCAGCAGCAGCAGCAGCAGCAGCTATATAGCAGCAAGTACAGCAGCAGCTATAGCAGCACGATGCGCAGCAAACTATTGCTAGCAGCAAAACCAAAACTACATCCCCCTAGCTGCTGCAGTGCAGCAGCAACAACAGCACCACCACCATCAGCAGCAGCAACAGCAGCAGCAGCAGCAGCAGCAGCAGACAAGAATAAAAAAAAAAATAAATAAATAAATAAATAAATTTATAATAATTTATAATTAAATATCCATAAGAAGGAGAAAATAAAGAAAATACCTAATATAAACCCTAATACTATTTTATCTCTTTTTTTTATTTTATTTATTTTATTATATAGTGTATATACACCTGAGGCAGCAGACTGCAGCAGCAGCAGCAACTGCTGCTGCTGCTGCTGACGACGTCTCTGTATACGTAATTGCTGCAGTGCAGCAGCAGCAGCATCTGTTAT